AAAAAAATTAAAAATAAAATAAAATTGTTTGTTAGTTAAAAGGGTAAATTACAAATATACCCTTGAGGTTTGCTTAAAATACGAATTGTTCCCTATGATTTGAAAAAAATTACAAATACCTCTCTGTTAGAATTTTTTATTTAACAGAATTAATTGAAAAGGTAAAATTTTTAACTGTTCACCTATACAATAACAAAATTATCTGAATTATTAATTGAAATAAAATTTTAATATTATTAAAACTGTTAATTAACTTGATGATTTAGTAATAAAAAGACTTATTTGTTATGAAATTAGAAATCTTATGGGACATAATGTAATTTCTAAAATCACAGGGAATAATTTATAATTTAAGTAAATCTCAGGGGATGTGTTTATAATTTACCCAAGTTAAAAATATAGGGGCATTATATGGAATTATTCTGGCAAAGGCTTTTTTTGCCTTTTTGGATTAAAATCCACAAAATGACAAAATAGACTAAAATAGCTAATAAGACAAAATGTCACATTAAACTCATAAGCATTTACTTTTTCTCTCACAAACATCACATTTAACTACAAAAAATTCAATTATCTTCCCAAACACAAAAATTTTAACCTATAAAATAATAAAAAACTAAAATAACTTACTAAAATAGCAACTTCTCAAACACCCACGTTGAATCCAATAGTCTAGCTCTAGTAGTCTCCACTCTCTACTGGCGTGTTCGATACCATCGTTTTCAATGCGGAAGAAACGAGCAAGGATCCTCTCCAACTTTCCTCTCTGGCCTCCCCTCCGGGCATTGGTCCAGATTGGACCACATCATCTCATGCAAAATGTGCGGCTGAGATTAGTTAAAAAAAAAATTAACTCACTAACACAACACGTCCCACCACTCACTCACACGCACTCACTCACTCACACACACACACACTCTCTCTCTCTCTCTCTCTCTCTCTCTCTCTCTCTTATTTCTAATAAAAATTTTAAAAAATTATTTTAATCTTTTTCATTTTATTTTCATAAGATATACTTCCTCTGTCTCAAAATTTAGTCCCTTATTCCATTTTCTATTATCCCAAAATATTAGTCCATTTTCAAAAATTAAGAACAAAAATATTATAAATTTTTTATTTTACCCTTCTTTTAAATTCATTAATAACATAAAAAGTACAATTATGAAAATTGATATTCTCCAAATAATATACTATATAGTTTTTGATATTTTATAAATATAGAAATTATTTTTTTAGACCAAAATGACAAATTATTTTTTGGAATTGAATTTTACAAATAATTTGGTTATGAGTTATGTGTTTGGTTATGAGTTATAAGTTTTTCAATTTTGAAAACTCTTTTCAAAACTCATAACCAAACAACTTAAAAACATAACTAATTTCATCAAATTGAAAACTCTTGTGCGTTTATTGTCAACAAATTAATTTTTATATTTAAAAAATAACAATTTGAAAACATAACTTAGCATAGTAATTACTTTTTATTTATTTTAATTTTTTATTAAATATATTTAATATTAGTGTCATTTTAAAGGTATATTTTCAATGATACTAATTTTATAAAATTAAAATTTTATATTAAAAATTATATATATGTATATATCTTATGATAGTATATTTTTTGGAAAATATCAATTGTCTTAATTGTACTTTTTATATTATTAATGAATTTAAAAGAATGGCAAAATAGAAAATTTATATTATTTTTGTCATTAATTTTTGAAAAGAGACAAATATTTTGGGATAATAAAAAATGGAATAAGGGACTAAATTTTGAGACAGAGGAAGTATATCTTATGAAAATAAAATGAAAAAGATTAAAATAATTTTTTAATTTTTTATTAGAAATGAGAGAGAGAGAGAGAGAGTGTGGTGGGACGTGTTGTATCAGTGAGTTAATTTTTTTTTTTTTTTTTAAATAAAACTAATCTCAACCGCATATTTTGCATGAAATGATGTGATCCAATTTAGACCGTTGCCCGAATGGGAGGCCAGAGAGAAAGTTGGAGAGAATCCTTGCTCGGAAGAAACGTCTCGTTGGATTTGTCAATTCCATATTGGAACTTGGATCACATAAAAAGAGCTTTTGACTTTTCAAATAAATCAATGTTCTATGAAAAAAAAAATAAAATAAATGAATGTTTTAATCCTAGTGTTTTGAAAAGTATTCCTTAGTTTTTAGCCACAATATTATTTTGATCAAAGTTAAAACTTTATAAATAGGTACAACAACGTAAATATCTCATTTAATGTCATTGAATAAAAAAAATAAATAAAATATCGTAGATGAAATAAATGGACAAATCTGATTTCTTATTAACCCAGTCTTGTAGTCTCTCTATATATGACAATATTTAAAAAAAAAAAAAAATTATTGACTAGTGATACATATCACTAAAATGGTTGAGCATAATCTTCTAATACAAGTCGAGTAAGATACCAAAATAGTAAAGGTAAATTATCAATAAATTATAATAGTTTGATTTAATTTTTATCAAATTTTATTGAAAATAAATTATGATAAAATCGTTAAAAATAATTTTTTTGTGATATTTTTTTGCATATATTGCAAAAAATTGATAATTAGCGTTCGTATGGAATCTGGATTGGCTTTTTGACTTTTTGATTATTTTAGCCTGAGACTAAAAAGTCTCGTTTGGGATAGGCTTTTTGGCTTATGGGTTGAATGTGATGTTTTGTTTTTTAGATTAAAAGGCCTATTTTGTTTTTTTGTGGCTAAAATAGCCTCCCAATCCAATCCAACCCCTCTTTCCAAACGAATCTTTAGTGACTTTTTTTATCACGATTTTTATAAATTGTCGTTAAAATTTATAATTAGTGAATTTTTTTTACAACGAATTTTTCAAATTATCACTGAAAATTAAAAATTAGTGATTTTTTTGTGACGATATTTTTAAAGTGTCGCCAAACCTTGTAATTAGTGGTATTTTGTGACAAATTTTTTAAATTGTCACTAAAATTTAATAATTAGTGATGTTTTTTTAATAATATTTAATAAAATAATATTATTAATTATGATAGGATTTATTAGACAATAAATCTAGGGAGACTTATTTATAAATCCTTTTTCAGACACTTATGATAGGGTAAGTCCTGTATAATTTCTTATAGAGTCTCAAGTCCTATTTTCATAAGAATATATTCCACAAGATCCTACATAAACGTAACGTGACGTGACACTTACATAAACGTAACGTAACGTCACACCTATATATACGTAACGTAACATGACACCAATGTGAACGTAACGTGACACTTATATAAACGTAACGTGACATTTACATAAACGTAACGTAACGTGTCACGTTACGTTTCGCAAACTTAATAAATTTTTATTTTTTTAAATTGAATGTGAAATGTTACTGATTGTTATCATATTTTAGTAATTCATCAAATAGTTACTCAAAATTACGATTCATTGTGTTAATCATGCGAAATTCAATAAAATAATGTCATGACAAAAAAAATGATGACGCAGACATTTGTGTGTTTGGCATCCAGTATGTCTTTTTTTTCAATTCACATGCACATAAATGATACTTTCCCTCCATCTGTTAAAAAAATAAAAATAAAAAAAATAATGGGCGTCGTTTTTGTGTTTTGAAATAAGAAGAGAGTTTAGACAATTTTTTTAATTTATTTGGTTGTATATTTGAAAAATTGTTTTGGAGTTTAGAAGTTTGGAATGATTTGATATTTTGTTGTAGTTGAGTAGATGTGTGTGAGAGAAAAAGTAATTAACAAGAAGAGATGAGAGAAAAAAATAATTAATTGATGTATAGGAGAGAGAAAGCGATTTTAATTTTTTTAAAAAAAATTTAAACCAAACAAAATTTTAAAAATTTTCTGATAATTTCCCATTCACATGAAGAATATGAATGAGGCCACTAGATGCTTTGAATCTAATTATTTTATTTTTTTCTAGGGTTGATTTTTAATCGTATGATGGTCCCATTCCTATATTTTTTAGATTTGTTGAAATAAAAGTTTCAAAATTTTAATATTTTTTAAATATCTAATTTAATTTTTTTGTTACGTTTATGTAGGTGTCACGTTACGTTACGTTTATGTAGATATGTCACGTTACGTTTATATAGGTGTCACGTTACGTTTATGTAGGTGTCACGTTACGTTACGTTTATGTAGATATGTCACGTTACGTTATGTTTATGTAGATGTCACCACTACAGGAAATTCGAGTTTTAGCGGCGTTTTTAAAACGCCGCTAAAAGCATGAAAAACGCCGTAAAAAGTTATAACGACGTTTAAAATTTTCGCCGTTGATACGGTCGCCACAATAGGTTTGCAGCGTTTAATAAACGTCGCTAAAACTATTCGACGGCGTTTTTTAAAACACCACAAAATGTTGACGTCCGCTTCTATTACCGTCACAAACTAACGTGTGACGTGAGCATGACGTCATTTAGTGGCGTTTTTCGAAAACGCCACTTTTTTTCTTTTTCTTTTTTTTTAATTATTTATTATTATTATTGTGTCCAAAGCATACCATTTTAGAAAATATGCATTATAATGAATCTGAAAAAACAAATCTTCCACTAGACTACGCCAAATACATTATAATGAAATCTAAAAAAACAAAATTCAAATTCACACTCCGGATACTTCAAATACCACATGAAATTAGGCAACAAACTACACAAGTCATCCAAGATTTTGAAAATTGTTGAAAATTTTAGCTTGATACAAGAATGTTAAATCTAGAGGTTCAATGCTGAGCCACAACCTCCAACTTCCATTTCTCAAAAATTATTTCTACCAAATAAAAGACAGGAATTCAACTTCTTTCAACTCTTTTTTTTTTTTTTTCCTCTATTATTTTCCTTACATCCAAACATAGCTTCAAGGGCATGCATAAATACCGAAATGACATGATCTCATAGCCAACAGAGCCTAATAGGCTAATTGACAACCTATAAACCAAATGCATCATATAAAATAAATAAATAAATAAATAAAAATTCCTGGAGAAAGCATAGCTTTTATTACAAATTTTACAACAATTCTTGTCAGCATGCATTACAAGTAATTCCCCCACAAATTTGTGCACTATATTGGATTCCAAGAGACAATAAATTTGCAAGGGGGCAAATTTTGAACGGAAAGTTATGAATTTTAATCAGTAGAACATACAGTGGAGAAGAACATTGATCATTCTTTTCAGTTTCCACCTCAGATGAGTCAAGCTCGTGGCATGACTACCAGGTGCACATATTAAATTAAATGAGCAAATACAAGTAGAGAATGAAAAGCAGAAACAAAAGTCAAAATGTAAAACAAGTAAAGCTGCTAGATGAAAGGTACCAAGAGTGAAAGAGCTCGGGTCAAACATCACCGGCACAAGGGAGACAGCAATTTTTGTCAAGTCAAGGTAGGTCACAGCTCTCTAGCTACATCATATGTTCAAATGTGAAGTGGGTCACGGCCAGAACTGGAATCCCTGTGCTTCAAAGAGAGGTTTGCGAATTGCGAATCAAGGTCTCTACTATTGTTGCGTCTATGACTAGAAGACGGTTGTTGTTGTTGCTGACACAAGGCTCCCAGCCTTCCAATTTCTCTTTCCAATACTTCATGCTCCACTGCATAAACCCTTCACTTGTCTTAGTTTCTGGATGAAAATATGTGAAAGAATTTACTGCTGCCCTGTGTTGCAGCTCGCAAAAAAATACAAATTAAGGATATATTAACCCCACAGAGCTCATTCTTTCATATGCTTAATGTGTCCACACTGGTTGTGAAGCACACACTCCTGCATCCAACACACTTGAAAAAACAAAGAGTACACCCAGTAGTGTCGAACCTTTACTATTCATTTTTCTTTGTTTGAGAAAGTTCCACTATGTACACATGGCACCACAAGTCAAGCATGCAATAAACACTCATATAATAGAACAAGTAAATATAAATGAAAGTGAAGTGAACAAAACAAAAAGAGCATACATGTATTTATCCATATGATAATTGCCAAGCTTCAATTTCCATTTTATGCAATTGTTATCACCAAAAGTAAGATGGTTCAAAATTATAACTGTCTTATATTTAGATGTTGATGTGTTCTCGAAAATGGGGGTTAAGACTGGGTACATCTTGCCCTTCCCAGACCCTGCTTGAGTGCGAGCCTTGTGCATTGTGTCCTCAGCATGGATGGGTCTTCTTTTTTAAAGGTTTGCAATGTCATGCAATCCATGTCGCATCAAGTCATGTCAAGTCAATGTCCTGTGTTTATAGCTATGCTACTAAGCTCCAAAGTCGCACATTTTGTAATGCAAGTGATTTCAATTCCAATGATATTAAAGCTTTTCAAGCATGTAACCTATCTACCACTTATATGTGTGTATTTGTCAACAAAGAAATTATGACATGGCAAAATTGCTTGCAATTTTTCTTAAAAAATGAAGCAATACATATCAATCATGTGAGTTTCTATATATAACCTACCTCAATGCCACCTCTAGTAACAATCATAAAGGAAGATATATATGTTGGATTCTACTAATGAAACAAATGACAAAAAACATGTAGATCAACCCAGCTAAAATTTTCGTTCTAATTGTAACAAAGAAATAGTTTTATCATAAATGATTGCCTAATAAATTTGATTATCTAAAATTCACAACTGTCACTATAATTCTGTCCACCAGAAGACAGATTCAAATGAAGGTTGTTTATATTTGCTGCCATTGTCCAATTATCATTTCCTCACCTCAGCATAACATCTTCTACATTATCCAATGAGAAAATACGTCCACCAACTTTCTAAGGGCATCCAGAAGGATGCCACTTTCTCAAGAAAAGAGAATCCACCATTCACCTTAATTTTAAAAAACTAATACTTATCAAAAACAGCCAGGTAATGCAGTGGTGCACCAATCTAGAGAGAAATCTTTCTGTTTAGCAAGCACTTATGCTGTGCTGACGGGGATGCAAACAAGCACAGCTACTACAATTATCCAAGCATAAGTTCAATAATAGGTCTCCTGATCCCAAGACTTAGGTTAGCTATCCAAACATACCCAGGAAACAAGGTATTAAAGTTATTGAAGACCCTGGGCTACAACCAGCTGAACAAATGAACTAGAATAAGCATGGACTGAAACAAGCATAATCCACCTACTATGTTAATGAGCCTAAAGCTAAGTAGTGCAACAATTGGGTTAGCAGTTTTCATATTTTTTATTGAATAAAGGTCTACAAGAAACCAAAAATGGTAATGATGTAATGCAACTAAAAAACTAAAAATAAAAGAAGCTCTATCAAATTCCACAGAAATCAGAAACTGATTCTGATCCCCCACCCCTCCCCAACCCTATAGCAGTTCCGGGAGCATTCATGCAGAAAACGCCCAGAAATTTAATGTTTTCTTACAGTAAATGTAAAAGAATTGTTTTAAAAATTATGTAATGCTACAACAAAAATTTTCCCCTACTTCAATGACATATAGGCGAAAACCACTGGAAGTTTACAGTTAGCTCAATATTCCTTTATGCTCATTCCAATACAGTTTATATCTTCAATTATCATCTAAGAATTCAGATTCACAATTACCCTCAAACAACATCCATTATCAATATTCTCATAATTCTTGCAGGATTGATTATACCTGAGTGGGGGGCTTCCAAGCAACAGAAGCAAATACGATTCAAAAAGGTTCAAGAAGTATGAAAACTTACAATACTTTATCAGCTGCTCCTGGGCTAAACTTTCTAAACGTTGCTTCAAGGCTTTGTTCTCCATGGTCAGAATAAGATTCTGCTGGTTGAGAAATTCAAGCTCAGCAGAAAATTCAGATCCTTCTGCCTGTAATTGTATATAAGGACTAACATCAGCACATTATGATAAACTACAGCAACTTTCCCCAAAAAAAATGTATCAAATTTTTTTAGTAGTTTCTAACTAATACATGCCTGTAAAGCTTGCACATTCCTTTCCAGTTCAGCTATATATTGAAGTTTCCGAACCCGTGAACGTTGAGCAAATTGCCTGCATAACAGCATTTCATATTTATTCCGCAGCAACTCACATATCAAATTAATAGTCTTTACAGATAACACCAATCTCATTTTAAAGATTGCAGACTTCTCATATCAAATTACCTAATGTATTCAATAGTATAGTCATATAAACGACACACACACACACACACACACACAAAAACCTAAAGCCACCACATCTGAATTACTAATTGAAAGAACTAATATCAAACAACTTCACTTTAAAACCCATACACTCATACATATTGATTTCCAGTTCAAGAGCAAATGACCTTTGATCAAACGTAGGACCTATTGTCCCACCAGGGAAGAGCATGTAATTTCTTTAATTTGACACTGATCACTGAACGAGTTTTCCTGGTCATGTATAACCAAAATTACAAAGTCGTGTTGATTTATGTTCCTGCTAATTTTGGGAACTCTACTGACTAGGAACAGGATTCTCCATCTGGTGCAAATCTTTCTCTGCACCGGAACAAGTATAAAACCTTGCAATTTTAAACCGGAAAATAAACCATAGAACAACTTTGGATAAAGATCATCATCAAACGTTGCAATTTTAAAGGTGATACCACATAATAAGAGTAAGAAAGCTAAGAAACCAAAGTATTGAAATGAAGGATAGGACATACTGCTTAGCACGTTTTGTATCCATTTCAGACTGGATGACATACTGCTTAGCACTTGGGGTGGGCAGCTATGAACCAAGATTTTGGATACTCCACCCACTACTGGAAAATAGACTTTTAGTGGCGTTTAAAAAACGCCGCTAAAAGTGGCAAAAACGCCGCCAATTCCTTTTGCGACGCTAAGCACCAAACGCCGAGGACGCGGCCGTCGCTATAGCTTTATGGCGTTTTAAAAACGTTCTTTGTCAATTAATACTGCTGAACAAATTATACACAAAAAAAGCTGAGGAATTTGTACCTGGGTCACAATTGTCCACTGCAAATCGAATTTGGTCCCGATTAGTATAGGAATTGCCGTCTGCAAACAAAAATTAAAGCAAAAAAATTAAAAAATTTATATGAAAATATGTTCATACCCTTTTAAGAATGAATAGTATCCAAATAATGAAATTCTGCAACTTCATTCTTTTCAATACAAAAATAGAGATTGTTGTCGATATCATCCATAACACACTTATTAATGATCAAATTATTGACATAAATCTTTTTCTCCCCCACAATTGCATTAACAAGTACTTTTTCTATTGTATTTTTTTATTTTTTATTTTCTTTTGAGGAATATATGATTGGATCATTAATAATCTTAAATGTTTGGCACTTCACTAGTAAAGACCCCATCAACAAAATGAAGTTCTACCCACTTTCATAATGTTGTTCGTTGCCATTATATTTATCCATTCACTACTGCTATAGGAGAAAAAAATATTACAGAAAAATGCATAGAATAATCTAAACCACACATTCCAGTTGATGCAAATTTAGAAGATAGATTTAGTACTTGATTCCACTTTCTTGCTTGATTGTACCATCCAATAACACTGTAATAATCCAGAAAACACAAAATTATATCAAATTAGTGGTTCTTTAAACTTAAAACTATGTATGTATCACTATTAAAAGGAGTATTGATTTAATGATGAAATAATTAACATACATATTTAGAGTACACCGGCTAGTAAGATCAAACATAAACAAAATTACTATTGCATCTTTGCAAGCAATAGGAATTTGCTCAAGTGACCTATTGTCTCCTACATCCAAATTAAAATTACAAACAAACAAACATTTTAAGTAAATAGAATCCACTAAGACTTCGGAAATTACAAACATTTTAAGTAAATAGAATCCAAATTTTTTAAACTAAAGAACGAAAAAATTACAGAGAAAGTAGAACAGATCAGCAGATTTGACAATGAGAAAGTAGAGAGTGAAAAATGTACCTGATATAAGAGCAAGAGAGATCAGCTAGAACAGATCGATTTTGGATTTTGGATTTTGGATCTGCGATTTGATGAAGAACAGATCGATTTGATGAAAAACAGAACAGATCGATTTGATGAAGAACAGATCGAGTTCGAGTTCGATGAAGAACAGCTAGAGCAAAGCCCTCGAGCGAGAGAGATCAATGAAGAATAGCTAGAGAGTTCGACTGCGAGCGACAGAGATCGATGAAGCGCAAACCATCGAGGGTTTTGGATCTGCAATTGAGCAAATCGAGGGTTGAGAATGAGAAATTGAGTGAGCGAGCGAGAGAGTGTGTGTTTGAAACTGAGCGAGAGAGAGTGAGATCTTCAAATCGAGGGTTTTGGAAGAGAGGGAAATTGAGTTGTAGTAGAGACTGAGAAAAAGAGACTGAGTTCAAAGAGACGGTGGTTTTGACGGTCAATACATTGACCCAATACGGCGTCGTTTCACTAAGATCAGACACAACGTTTTTCGAAAACGTTGTGTTTCGTTAATTTATAGTGGCGTTTCCTAAACGCCACAAAAAAAAACGTTGCTGTAGACCATTTTTCGTGTAGTGCACGTTATGTATAGGTGTCAAGTTATGTTTATGTAGGTGTCACGTTACGTTACGTTTATATCAATTTTCTATATATGGTTTTACTATTATTTATGATATTAACAATTAATATTGAGGGTAAATATGTCAACAAACTTCCCACAGGACTTATGGAAACATAAATTTTTTAGTAGCACCATATGTAGCATAAGTCTTCCTAATAGGACTTATAAATAATTTTTCCATAAATCTATGTATCAAGAGGAATAATGTTTGAGGGTTACAATTTTTGTGGCTCAAATGGCTCAAAACTGTCAAAACGACGTCGTTTTGAGCACAAAACATGCCAAAACGACGTCGTTTTGGCAGTTTTGAGCCATTTGAGCCACAAAAATTGTTATTGAGGGTAAATATGTCAACAAACTTCCCACAGGACTTATGGAAACATAAATTTTTTAGTAGGACCATATGTAGCATAAGTCTTCCTAATAGGACTTATAAATAATTTTCCCATAAATCTATGTATCAAGAGGAATAATGTTTGAGGGCCACAATTTTTGTGGCTCAAATGGCTCAAAACTGTCAAAACGACGTCGTTTTGAGCACAAAACATGCCAAAACGACGTCGTTTTGGCAGTTTTGAGCCATTTGAGCCACAAAAATTGTGACCCTCTACCATTACCCGTATCAAGAGCTAAATGTAAGTCTCCTAAAATAATAAACTAAATCAGCTACTGAAAATTAGAAAAGTAGACAATGAAAAGCTGAGAAGTCATTCATATTTAAAGAAGAATTTTTCAAAAGGGGCATAGGCACGTGGTGTGACAAATCAAATGTAATTAGTAAAAATGGTAGGGCTCACTAGTTTATGTTAGTGATTCGGGGAAGAGCAGAGGATATAGCGGGGGTGTATGGTGTGATTTATTTTGGCCAATTTATAAATTTTAGTTTTGAAAAAATTATTTTAGATTATTTGGTTAAATTTATTTTAAACAGTTTCTGATTCTAGTAATTTATTTTAATTTAAAAAATTGATTCTGAAAAGCTGCTCACCCTTTATTTTTTATTATCACCTTCTGCTTTGGACATGTTAATTTAAGGTTATACTCTTAGATTTTTTTATTTTTTATTTTTTAAAAAATAGAAGAAGATCCAAATGGACTATGGATTATTATTATTATTTTTTATAAGAAATGTAGACAAGTAGTGAATAACAAAAAATAAAAGTTAATTCAAAGAGTTGTTTCACAACTTATTTAATAAATTCCTCTCAAAAAAACTTATTTAATAAATACTACTCAGGAATTTAAATCTATAATCCGTTACACTAAACAGATTAACAGTGCGCCTAGGACACCGAAGAATTTTCGATCCAAAACATAGATAAACTGAGTTTTTTTTCAAAATATCTTTAAAAAAAAAATTAAACTATTTACAGAAATAGCACACCTTTTAAATTATTTAACAAATTAACCTAAGTTTTTAAAATTATATTTTCAAAATACAATTTGATAACAAAATCACATTTTCAAAATACACTTTCATGATGACATGCCCACGTGAAATTGCCAACATGGCTATACTGAAATCTCATTTTAAAAATGCAAGTTTACCTTAAAGGCTGCGTTTGGAAAGAAGGGTTGGGTTGAGCTTGAGACTATTTTAGCCTCAAAAAGACAAAATATGCTTTTTTGCCCAATAAGACAAAATATCACATCCAACCCATAATCATTATATTCTTTCTCTCACAAAAAGTTAGAAAAACCAAAAAGTCTTTCCAAATGAGACTTGTTAGCCCCATATTAGAATAGCTAAAAAATTAACACACTTTCCAAACGAAGCCAAAGTTACATTTTCAAAACACAATTTCAACATTGATGCAAAAATGATGTTTCAATACTCATTTTGAGCTATGATTTCAACATAAGATTAGGTATGTCATTTTGAAAATGAAAAAAATAAGATTGGATATCACATTTTGAAAATGAGATTTTAGTTAAGTAGATTTTCAAGAAATCTTAGGGGTGGTTGGGCATGCGTTGTTATTTTAGCACATAATCCTATTTTGGTTACAATCATTTTATTTAAGTCATATCACCTCTCTACCACATCACTTCATACCCAACTCATATTTTACTTTTTTCATAAAAAGTCAAAAAATATGCTTATTTAGATAATCTCAAATACCCCATTAATTTAGAAAATACGGTTTTACCAAATCACAATTTGAAAAAGAAAAATAATGAAATTGCAATTTCAAAATGTAATTCTATGTTGAAAAATAGTCATGATATAGCAAACTTGTATCCGTACAGAGTCCAAATTCATGCAATTTTATTACATAAAAATAAAAAATAAAAAAAGTTTGTTATCTTAACTATTTAATGAAATCACATTTATGTACTGAAATTTTGCTATCTTAAATATTTTTCAACATAGAATTGCATACCAACTCTGTTTGGTTTCGTTTTGAGAATTTGATTTCTACAAAAAATTTAAAAAATTAAAAAAAAAACAAAAAAACTTGAAACTAATTTAGTAAAAAAATTAAAAATAAAAACACTCATTACTTTGACATGATTTTAGCTTTTTTTAAGAGTACAAACAATTTTTAAAAATTTAAAATTAGTTTTCAATTTTTTTTTTGTCAAATTAATTTTTATTTCTTAAAAAAATAATAACAATAACATATTCTAAAATTAAACCAATCATTTTTATTTTGTATTTTGAAATTGTGATTCCAAAAAATTGTGTTTCCTAAATTACGATTTCTTAAAAATTCACTTAAAATGTGATTTAAGTGAAATCTCTTTTTTATTAAATGCAGTGGACTCCACACTCAATTATGAGCAAGTCATAGAAAATGTGATCGAAAATATTACTGTATTTATTTCTATAGAAAATTCTAACTATACAAAATTTGATTGGCCTATTTTGAAGAGAAAAAAAAAAAAGCTTGCTTTTGGCTTATTTTCAGTCTATTTGAGCAAAACAAAATTTGGAGCGTTAGAAATAAGTTAATAAGTGAAATTATCAAAATACCATCATGTGTGTGAATAAGCTAAAAAAAAGTAAAATTACATGAAGGTAATATGGTCAATTCATAATTTTGCAGGTGATGTGACACCATATTAAAATAATTTTCAAACCAAAAAACAAAAATGCTACTTATTTCTATCTTCCCAAATGATTTTATGAATAAGCCAAAAAACAAGAAAATAAGCAAAAAAACTGTTTATTTTCCTCTTCTCAAAATAGGTCAAAATTGAACACAACATCTCATAGAAGGTGAGCCGTACTAAATATGTGAATCACGTTGTATGAGAAAAAATTGTGTCTGATTTTGTAACTGGATTTGTTGTAGAATAACTAAATTCTTTGTGATTAAAGAATAGATGCAATGAAGAAAATTACTAGTTTGAAAACTCCACACAAAGACTGATTCAACAAAGTACCAAGACTTTGGAACATTGAGTCTACGGTTATTTAATTTCTATGTAAAATTGTGTATATAGTTCGAAACTCACTTATCAAGAATTCATTTTCCTCACAACCAACCATTGCTATGGCTGTCTCCAACTCATGGAACTGTTACATCTTGTAGTTGGTTTGTTCTCATTTGCCTTATAAATGGCTTGCCTTATAAAATTCTTATCATTTGGTATCAGAGCCAGGTTACATGGATACACGGGCCAAAAGCAACGCTGAGTTTCGCAGTGAAGTCAACGAAGCATTAGCTCGTCACGAATCCAACTATCAAATGTCTAAAGATGTTGTCCTACAAGGATATGCTAATGTTTCCAACAAAGGCATCGAAATCACTCCTAAAAAACAAGAGTTGATAGCCGGTCGAGCCTCATATAAAGATCCTCTTCACCTTTGGGACAAAGCTTCTGGAAAACTGACGGACTTCAACACCTATTTCTTGTTTGTCATTGATTCACAAGGAAATTCGAGTTTTGGAGATGGGTTTGCATTCTTCCTTCTTCCTTATAATTTCAATTCCAATCTTGCAACAGGTGCAGCCATGGGTCTTCCAATCTTGTCAATCAACCCCCCCCAAATCGACTCAATTTGTTGCTGTAGAGTTTGATACCTATCAAAATCTGGGTTGGGATTGTGAGTTTGGTAACGAGGAAGAGAACAGAGAGAATGTAAGGTTGGTAACGAGGGAGAGAAAAAGAGAGGGACTGAAAGTTGGTGTTGATATATTATGTTTCAGTATATTACAAGAGAGCAAGCTCCCTCTCTTTATAGAGAGGAGAGGGAGAAGCTAACCAAGGCCCTTTTGCTCCGCTTCGGTCCCACCGATTATGAGGATCCCTCAGAATCCTTGACCCGCCTCAAACAAACTTCGACAATGGCCACCTATCAAGAAGCCTTCGAGATGCTCTCACATCGTGTTGATGGGTTGCCCGAAAATTACTTGATTGGGTGCTTCATTGCGGGACTCCGTGACGACATACGCCTGGATGTCAAACTCAAGCAACCCCGTACCTTGGCCGACACCATTGGAGCGGCACGGCTAATTAAAGAGCGCAATGCTCTACAAAAAAAAGGGAATAGCTCCTTTCGTCCTCAAGTGGCAGCCTTCACCCCACGGTCTTCTCCAAACAACACAGCTGGTGTTCTAGGACCCCCACCCACATTGAAGGTGGGTCAAACCTCGGCCAATGCTCCAGTTCCAGTTCGACGAATTACCAGTCAAGAGGCACGCGAACGTCGCGAAAAAGGGTTGTGCTATTATTGCGATGAGAAATTCACTCCGGGTCACCGCTGTCAAAGACCCCAGTTGTTTATGATTGAAGAGTCACCAACCCTCGAACCTACCGTTGCCATGGACCCTCCTGAAGAACCCGATATGGCCGAGCTCCTCCCTGAAATCTCATTCCATGCAATAGCTGGGACGACACATCCTCAAACATTCCTGGTGGTAGGCAAATTACAAAGTAAAACAGTGACTGTCCTCATTGATGGGGGAAGCACCCACAATTTCATTGATCAAGCCATAGTCACGAAATTCGGGTTGCCCGTAGCACGCGATCAAGATCTTCTTCGGTTTGAGTTCCTTAGAAAGACCTTGGGTGTCATGCTCGATCACTAGAGTGTTACTTGTTTCTTTAGTAGGTGTAAATGTTTGTGCCTTATGATAAGGAACTACTCCACCTCAATGGCACAGCCTTATTCTTTCAAATCATTCTAAGCCACGAACCAACTTCAGACAAGGACCACCCTGCCGACCTCGCCCAAATCCTCACTGAGTTTGAGCATGTCTTTGCCGTCCCAATACCTCGCCACCAATACGTCCCCATGATCACCACATACCATTACAACCAAATCAAGAACCAGTGAGCGTCCGACCCTACCGATACCCTTATTATCAAAAAGCAGAAATTGAAAGGATGGTGAAGGAATTTCTTGACTCAGGTTTGATTCGGCCCAGTACTAGCCCATTTTCTTCACCGGTATTGCTCGTCAAAAAAGCGGACGGAGGTTGGCGGTTTTGTGTTGATTATCGAGCTCTCAACAATATTACAATCAAAGATAAGTATCCGATCCCGGTCATAGATGAACTCCTCGACAAATTACACGAGTCCAGGTATTTTTCGAAACTTGACCTCCGCGCCGGATACCATCAAATACGGGTTCAAGAGGCTGATATACACAAAACTGCTTTTCGCACACATGACGGACATTACGAATTTGTTGTTATGCCCTTCGGCCTTACAAATGCCCCTCCACCTTCCAGAGTTTGATGAATGATTTGCTACGACCTTACTTGAGGAAATTTGTTCTGGTCTTCTTTGATGATATCTTGGTGTACAGCAAAAATTGGGTTGATCACCTCGGGCACCTCCGTGCAGTCCTTCTTGTTTTATCCAACAATCAGTTGTTTGCCAAACAATCCAAATGTTGTTTTGGCGTGTTACAGGTGGCATATTTGGGACACCTCATTTCATTTATAGGGGTGGCCGTTGATCCCGGCAAAATTAGTTCAGTTCTTGAGTGGCCAATTCCCACTTCCACCCGAGGTGTTCGCGGCTTCCTTGGCTTAGCTGGATACTACCGAAAATTTATTAGTGGTTTTGGAGGGATCGCTGCGCCTCTCACTCGCTTATTATCCAAAGATGGGTTCCATTGGACTTCTGAGGCCGCCGCCGCTTTTTCACAACTCAAACAGGCCCTCACATCTCCTCCAGTCCTACGTTTACCAGATTTTTCACAATCCTTTGTGATTGAATGCGATGCTTGTGGAGTGGGCATCGGGGCTATTTTGTCACAACAAGACCAACCCGTAGCCTACTTCAGTGAAGCTCTCAAACCGTCGGCCTTAGCTCTATCAACCTACGAGAAGGAGATGCTAGCAATAGTGAAGGCCATCCGCAAGTGGAGACCATATTTAATCGGTAAACCTTTCATTGTCCGGACGGATCAGAGGAGTTTAAAATATTTGCTAGAGCAACGAATCACGACACCGGCACAAACACGGTGGTTACCAAAGATCCTTGGCTATGATTATGTCATTGAGTACAAGAAAGGAAGGGAGAATTGTGGTGCGGATGCTCTCTCACGAGTTGGAGAACTAGAGTTCCTCGCAGTGTCCTTGCCCGTTGCCGATTGGTGGTCCACACTCCAATGTGAGGTAGCCAACGATCCATTCTATAGTCAATTATTGGAATCAATTCCATCACACCTCCAGTCGCAATATTTTTTACGTGATGGAGTTCTTTTCAAAGGAAAGTGCATCTATTTAAGTCCTACTTCGCCACTACTTCCAGCAATTTTGTCCACACATCACTCGTCACCAAGTGGTGGACATTTTGGCTATCATAAAACATTGAGCCGCATTAACGCAAGCTTTACTTGGCCTCACATGCGAACTACAATCAAGGAATTCATCAAAAATTGCGATGTCTGTCAACGATGCAAATCTAATTGCTTGCGACCCGCTGGCCTATTACAACCATTGCCAATACCAACCAAAGTATGGACTGACATTTCCATGGATTTCATAGAAGGGTTGCCGCTATCCCACGGTAAAACTGTCATCATGGTGGTCGTGGATCGCTTGACCAAATATGCCCATTTTATTCCACTCAAGCACCCCTTTACTGCCATCACTGTGGCTAAAGCCTTTATCGAACAAATTGTTCGGCTTCATGGCATGCCGGCATCCATTGTAAGTGACCGAGATAAAATTTTTATGAGTTTATTTTGGAAAACTTTATTTCAGATCCAAGGTACAGCTCTTTGCATGAGTTCTAGTTATCACCCACAAACCGATGGTCAAACGGAAGTGGTTAATCGCACGCTCGAGCAGTATCTTCGGTGCTTCACACATGGGCAGCCAAGAAAATGGATGGACTGGGTCGCATGGGCTGAATATAGCTACAACACTTCCACTCACTCGTCCACCAAAATTTCCCCTTTCGAGGCCGTGTACGGGCTACCTCCACCAACTTTACTTTCCTACATTCCAGGCACAACGAAAGTTCAGGCTGTTGACGACCTCTTGCGCAACCGAGATGACATTCTTAGTGCATTGCGTCGTAACTTGACTGTCGCTCGTGACCAAATGAAATCCCAAGCTGACCGACATCGATGAGAGCTTGTTTTTGAGGTCGGTGATTTTGTGTACCTCAAACTCCAACCATACCGGCAGAAATCAGTGGCTTTTCGAGGCTCTATGAAGCTTTCACCTCGGTTCTTTGGTCCTTACAAGGTTCTTGCTCGAATTGGTCCAGTGGCGTACAAGCTCGAGCTGCCAGAGGGTTCCCAAATCCACAATGTTTTTCATGTTAGTCTTCTCAAGAAACACGACGGTCCCATCACCATTGTTTCCCATCAACTCCCGCCAGTTTCGGACACTTCCGAGATCCTTCCTCAACCTGAAGCCGTGTTGGACACCCGTATTGTTCGAAAGGGACGTTACCGCCCCAAAACCGAGATTTTGGTTAAATGGATTGGGGCGCCAATTGAGGATGCAACCTGGGAGAATTGTTGGCGTTTTTTGAAGACTTACCCTGCCTTTATCCTTGCGGACAAGGATAATTCCAGGGGGGAGGAATGATATGTCCATTGCCACGTTGCTTTTGGGAGTGGGTCATGCATGAGAATAGGAATAGGACTTAGCATGAAAATAGGAACTGTGGAACTGCTACCTCCAGAATAGGAATTAGTTGTAGATTATTTTTAATAATGGTTGTAATGGTTGCTTATGCTTCCACAATTCATGCCACGTTTTTTTATTTATGGCTGTTACATCTTGTAGTTGGTTTGTTCTCATTTGCCTTATAAATGGCTTGGGAACTTTTGAATAAAGAAGGGCAAATAATTACAGTTTCAAAAACCTCCCTCTCTCTCACTCCAGTCTCTGTTCTTCTAAGCCTCTGTTCTCTTCTTATATAAAATTCTTATCAGGAACTCCCCCCTCCAATCACATATTTTGGTTTGTTCTGTTTTCTTCTACTTTGTGATCACCCTTTACTACTTCCCTCTTCATGCGAATGCTCTGAGCTTCAACCTCACCAATACTAATCAAATGTCTAAAGATATTGTCCTACAAGGATATGCTAATGTTTCCAACGAAGGCATCGAAATCACCCCTAAAAAACAAGGGTTGATAGCCGGTCGAGCCTCATATAAAGATCCTCTTCACCTTTGGGACAAAGCTTCTGGAAAACTGACGGACTTCAACACCTATTTCTTGTTTGTCATTGATTCACAAGGAAACTCGTGTTTTGGAGATGGGTTTGCATTCTTCCTTCTTCCTTATAATTTCAATTCCAATCTTGCAACAGGTGCAGCCATGGGTCTTCCAATCTTGTCAATCGAGCCCCCCAAATCGACTCGATTTGTTGCTGTAGAGTTTGATACCTATCAAAATCTGGGTTGGGATCCATCCAACATCACACCTGGAACTCATGTAGGTATCGATATCAACTCTATCACATCTAATGCCACTGAAATATGGTACAATAACATAATGTATGGAAAAGAGAATGAAGCTTGGATTAGTTATGATTCTAGTTCGAAAAAATTGAGTGTTGTTTTCACTGGATATAAAAACAATAGCAAAATTAACAATTCCCTTAGTTTGTCGGTTGATCTAAGGGACTTCTTACCAGAATTGGTTACAATTGGCTTCTCAGCTGCAACAGGAGGTTTGTATGAGAAACATACTGTCAAATCATGGTCGTTCAATTCGAGTTTACAAATCAGTGTGCCAGGCAGTCCTAGTCCCAATCCTAGTCCTAGTCCCAGTACCAATCCCAGTCCCACAGCGAAATCCAGTCCCAGCACCAATTCCAGTCCAAGCCCCAATTCTGGTATTGGAAAGAAGATGAGTGGTGGGATTGACTATCAGATCATCTTCTTTGGCTGGTTGGTTGGCTTTGCTTGGCTTTATATTGTGGGAAAGTAGAGCGAAAGAAGAAGATCAATGTCTGGGTAAAAGTTGGTATCTAGAGCATTGACCTTTACAATCCATGATTTTGCTTATCGATTGCAGAATATCAATGACCTTTTACAGAGGGTTTGTTGGTTGATGTATGTTTTTCTTTTGATATGTTTTGTTTGTTGTTGCTTTTCTGTTTTGTGAGGTGATTAGTGTCATCAGTTTGGCTACTTCTTGTCATTTGGTTTCTTTGCTTTTTTCCCTTGTTGAGGCTAGTTGTTGGTTTCTTCTCAACTCTTTGTTCTTGTCTAGTTGGGTGTTTGCAAATAATTTGATCATCAATAGGTGTCAATGAGATGTGAAGATTTAGTTATAAAACGTGATGTATAGATAAACATGGATAATACAATATACATAAGACATAAAACAAAATTAGTAATAAGTAATTCGCGACAATATATATATATATATATAACCAATAACACAGTAAACACGAGAGTTATAATGAAAAGGCAAAAATAAACAAAAACAAGTGATAAATATTTGGTAAGACTGACTAACTCACCAATCTAACTCAAAACACTTTATAACAGTAGCAAAACTCAACACATATACAGGACTATCTTTATATCCAAAGTAAATTCAATTTTTCTCCTCCAATATATATTATATCTCTATATTACTATATTTGCAAATGAAGAACCTAAAAGTTGCAGCTTGCATTATACCTTCAAATGGTATCCTCACCTCATCTAAAAAGAAAAAAGGAAATTTGAATATCTATCTTCTATCTATCTATCTATCTATCTATCTATCTATCTATCTATCTATCTGTACTATTATAAAGTGAACACCCTTGTGGTGTCATGAAACCTTTGTTTCTTATGCTACCATGTGTCTATTTTTTTATTTAAGATAAAAAAAAATGAAACCTTTGTTTCTTATACTTCCATGTGTCCATTTTTTTTATTTAAGATAAAAAAAAAGAAAAAAAAAAGAAAAAATAGACGAGAGGGGGGACTTGAACCTTAGACTTATGTCATGTCAAATGAATAAGACTCTTACCACTTGACTAGAACACAATATATAATAAATATTTTATTTTATTTTTATTTATTTATATAGCGATCCCGGGTTTACCCTTGTTGTACAGTGATCCGGACATGTGTCCGTGGATGTTGGTAGTTGTTTATTATCTTGTTTGCATCCTCTTTACTTTGTATATTGAGTTATAGGATGTGTTGGGCAGGTTTGTTTCAGGTTGGTTGTGTTTGGGAGCCTAGTGTTGCTGCCCAGATTTTTGGACCTTCGCTCGAGCGAGGAGTTGGTCCGAGCGGGAGTTTCACCCATCCAGTATTTCCTGTGCAGTATTGGACGCTCGAGCGTGGGTTTGGCCGCTCGAGCGGGGGTGTGTGAGTGCCGCTCAAGCGGGGAGTTGGAAGCTCGAGCGGAGACTTGGTTCTATAAAAGTTCTGGGAGTGTGTATCCGTCGCTCGAGCGGGAGTCTGTGAGTGACGCTCGAGCGGGGCGACGGGGTTTAAGTTCCGAGTTTTGACTTTTCAAATCACTTTTTCACTTTCTCTTCTCTCTCCTACTTTCCCAAAAACACCATTGTTGAGCCCCTCACTCTAGAACTCTACCTTCTCTCTAGGTTTTGATCTAGTAGGAGTGATTTGCTCATCTTTGGCCTTTACAAAAAAGTTGTTGATCGTCGAGGGCTACATTTAATCTGAAAATTTCGGGATTTGGAGCACGTTGGGTTTTGTCATCTTCTCCCTTGGGGCTCCGGATTTGAGGTAGGGATATCCTACTCCTTTCTATGAGCTTTGTCTTTAAATTTTAGTATTTTGAGATGTTGGGGTTGGTTTGGTAATTAGGTGAAAGTTTGGGGCTTTTGTGTAAAGTTACAAGGTTGGGGTTTTAGCTAAATGAAGCCTAGATGCATGTTTGGCATGGAAAAAGTGAAATTAATGATAAAACATTAATGAAAATGGAACCTAAGGGTTGTAATGTTAATTATGGAAAATGCCCTAATTACATTGGTTGATTAAATTGTATAATTAATCGTTGGAAATGAGGAATTGATTTGAGAATGTGGAAATTGGAAAGAAAAAGGGAAAAAGGGTGTAGTTGGATTATTTATCACTCACCCAGTTGAAATATTGATTATATATCCATTGTTGCATTTATTTTCTGTATAGAAATAACTGCTTTGGGCTATCGGTGGAGGATAGTCATGATTGTTGTAGACAATGCATGATGATTAGGCAAACGGAAACTAATCAATGGAATGT